ACGTGGCTGCTACGGGTAGCGATGCAACGCACTCGTGTGCCCCCGCCCGGCGTGCAGCAGGGGCCGCCTCGCTGGGGCTGGGACTGGCACTCGGGAAGGGAGGGTGGCGAACGCGCCGCAATCGCCTGCTGTTTGAGGGCGGCGGACTCGGACCCGGGGGAATGTTGTCCCTAAAACCCCCCAGGGCCAGTACAGTGTCTGGGTTGGCTTGTTCGCACCGGTTAATCGCGATCGCTGCCGGTTTGGGGAAAGTTGTTTTTGTTTTACACGCAGTTGAAATGTTTAAAAAGTGTCTCTCTTCTAGCTTGTGGTAGGGTTAGTTAGATCAATAGAAATGCATATGCACCAGGGCCAGGATTTTTAAACTTGGATTGTCTCAAGGATTTTTCAAAAGGTGCGGACCACAGGGCAGTGAGTAACTTCAGGGGGAACTGTGCATGCGGTTCCTAAGGCCCTACAAACACACATACTTAATTTTGTGCAAATGCAGAATAAACAGGCTAAAGGTGACCTAAATATGGATTTGGGTCACTTTTAAAAAAATAGCCATTTTGGATTCCTCAATATTAGGTATCCAGCTTGAAGTACCCTAAAGGAGCTGGCTTCTTAGACAACACTAAGGACCAACCCCCTGTAAATCAGGAACCGTTGAAGTGAGGAACCAAAATCACAAGTCACCTTTGAAAATGTTGGCTTAGGAGCCTAATTTTAGATATTTAGGATTGAAATTTTTGCCTTAAATACACAGTGAAGGCATGACAACTATTTATTATAGTTAGGGCCCTACCAAATTCATGGTCCATTTTGGTCAATCATGGTCGTGGGATTTTTCAAATGGTAAATGTCATGATTTTATATATTTAAATCTGAAATTTAATGGGGATATAATTGTGGTCCTGACCCAAAAGGGAATTAAGTGGGAGTTGTAAGATTATTATATGGGGGTTGTGAATTGCTACGACCCTTACTTCTGGGCAACTGGAGAGTGGTGGCTGCTGACCAGGAATCGAGCTGTGAAGGCACAGCTACCCTGCTGGCAGTAGCATAGAAGGAAGGATGCATGTTATGGTGTTGCAACCCTGCATTCTGCTTTGCTGCCTGCAGAGCTGAAGCCTTAGCAGCTGCCACTCTTCAGCTGCTGGTGGGGTGCTGCCTTCAGAGCTGGGCGCCAGGCCAATATTGCAACCTCTGCTGTCCAGTTGTCCAGCTCTGAAGGTAACTCAGAAGTAAGGGTGACTATACCATGACCTTCCTAAAATGACCTTGTGATTCCCCCTGCAACTTCCATTTGGGTCAGGACCCCCAATTTATAAAACATTGTTCTCCCACTGTGAAATCTGTATAGTACAGGATAAAAGCACACAAAAGACCAGATTTCACAGGAGGACACCACATTTCACAGTCCATGACACATTTTGCATGGCTGTGAATTTGGGAGGGTGCTAACTATAGTGATGGGCTCCAGTATCTAGATAGTTACAGTTCTTGTCTTTGTTGCTGCAGTTTGACTGACCAGGCTGCTACAGCGCAAAGGTGAAACAGTTTACACTGAGCCTTTGATTAAACGTCATATATTTTTAATAGGAGATTAGATTTTGTCAGGAGAGACGATATTTTCAGCAGCCACCATTTTCTATGTGCAATTTTTTGGTGTTTTAGCCCGTTGGCCACAAACTGCACAGTAATTGAGATCCAGTAGCAGGAAGTTACCTTACAACCATTGCTCACGTGCTTTTATCGAGAAAGGCGTTCATACAACCCCATAACTAATGTAAAACATTCCCCAGGCAGGATAATTATACACTTCATGCTGATTCTCAATGGCAGCATCGTCACTGGGTTTCTGACAAGCATCTGCTTAGACCTCACTCCTTCCTCCTTTTATCACATTCTGTGGGAGGCTGACAGAGCCCACGTACCAAATTGTTACTGTTCAGATTCACCACAGCTAGTAATTAGAAAAGTTGATGTACAGTGGAGCACAGCAGCAATCTCTTGCTGCAAAGAAAGAAGCAGCTAACTTTAGAATTTGGAGAAAGACAAAGGGTAGTCACACAGTTCATTAAGGACTGCGCAGGTTCAAGCAGACAGGGAAGAGTAAGAGCCAGACAAATGCACATTCCTATTTCTGGGACCTACATTAGTTTAAAAAATAAATTTTCTTGAGAAGTGATTTTGACAGGGCCCAGAGCTTTGGCGGAGGAGACCAGGGCAAAAGGAGTAGTTGCCTCAGGACCCATCAAAGGGGCCCAGGGCTCCAGCTGCCACCACTGTCACTGTTGGAAAGAATCTGGACACCATATATGAAGCAAGCAGAAGGGTTTATTAACACGCAGCGCTGGTGTAGTGTCACTTCGCTTGTTAGGCTTGGTGAACACTGCCAGGTTACAGCTAATTATATAGGATGCTGAATAGTAATAGAGAGGTAGCCATGTTAGTCTGATCTTGCTAAAACAAAAGGAAAAACTATGTAGCACTTTAAAGACTAACAAAATGGTTTAATAGGTGATGAGCTTTTGTGGGCCAGACCCACTTCCTCAGATCATATTCTGGAAGAGATTTGGCATGACCAATTGGCATGACCAATATATAGTCATGCCAATTCTCTTCCAGAATATGATCTGAGGAAGTGGGTCTGGCCCACAAAAGCTCATCACCTATTAAACCATCTTGTTAGTCTTTAAAGTGCTACATACTGGTAGTTTTCCCTTTTGACTTAATGGGCAGATGAAATGATGAGTCGGGGAAGATCCTGGACCCCTGGATAGGTGCTAATCGTAAGGCACAAAGAAGCAATAATCTAAAGGTTCCATAGTGTTTTCTACCCATAGGTTAGAGAATACCTTATATCTAGTTAAACAAGTATTTAAACAAAGTAGACATCAATTATCAGTTATGTATTAAGTGGCGATGTGTCTGTTAGCTTCAGGAAGGTATCTTTGCACGGATGTGATCCATTGGTGTTGCACCTGGAGATTAAAGCAGAGACAATAAGCATTTGTTCCTAGCACCATTGAATGTGTTATGTCCTGTCTCTCACCGTTGTCTGGATCGTTAGCTCCGTGATGACCTTCCTCCGATGAGCTAAGCGGGGTGGGAAGGTAACCATCATGTACTGGGTTTGTGTGATAGTTTCAGACTTGAAATTTAGAATAGGGGTTCTTAACAGAATATCATAGCCTGTCTCAGAAATTTTTACCCTGTGTGGAGTGTTGCTCCACACAGCTATGAGGGCTGGGGGGACACCATAGTCCAGGCTGCCCAGTCCCATCCCTTCCACCTGAAGCTGTGCCCCCGTCTGAGGGTGGGAACCGCCTCCTGTTGCCCTGGGCCCAAGGGTGGCTGTAGGCTCAGCTAAGTCTGGCTATTTACCCCTGCTGAGGACCTGGTCTTAAGCATTGTTTTGACCATGAGCGGTCGATGAGGGTAGAGCCAGAGAAGACAAGCCTCCAGCCCCACTTCCAGCCCTGCCCCTTCCCTGAGGCTCCGCCCTCACAGGAGCCAAGCCACCTCCCTACCATGGGGAGGCGGAGCAGTGCGCCATGCGCACCCCCACCACCACAAGGAGGGGAGTGCAGGTGGGCATGTGTGCATGTCCCAGCTTCCCCAGACCTGGAGCACAGGGAGAGCACATGGCTCCAGAATCCTTGGACCAGGAGCATGGAGAGGCAGGAGGGTGCATGTCCCCAGCCTCCCCAGCCCCAGAGCACAGGGAGGGCGGGCACTCAGGGGCAGCAATACTCTGCCCCCAGTCTGCCTACAGTAGGTATTCTGGAGGTGGAGTGTGGGCGGGGGCCAGGCTGGCAGTTTCTTCCCTCTAGGATACCAGCCATCCATGGTTTTGACTACTCTTTGCACTAGTGTTCCTTCTTTCCCCCAATCTCGCCATCTTTTGGGTACCCCTTGTACTTTGCCTCTTGGCCTGTCTGTTTTTCTTTTCCTTTCTGTATTTAGGGTTGGAGCCTATAAAGATTTAAGCAGAAAACTTTTCAGCCCCCATCAGTTACATTGCCCCCCCACCACTCACTGTCATAGATGAATGAGATCCAAAGAACTTTGTGATGTAAGAGTATCTGAATCAGTAAACTCCTTCTTATGAGCAGCCCCAGTGTTCATAACACAGAGCACCATGGAGTTTCAGGTCTTCATTTCCTTGGCAGGCTATGCTTTTCATTCTTCCCAAACCGGTGTGACCACAGTCTCCAAAACTGCTGACAGTTTCAGGTGCACTGGGAGCTAAAGACCATTTGGATGTTGTTTTTAAACTTTGGGTATTTTTTCTTCTGTGACTAGACCCACAAACCTTTCCTTCCAATTTCTTTTCGTTAAATCTTTAATATCAGAGCAATCAAGCCTTTGATGATACTTTTAGACCCTGAAAGAAGAATTCCCTTGTTATATTTACAATATTTTCTTTGTCATAAAATTGTAGAGGGTCATTTTAGATCTTTGTTCTGATGCTGAACTGCAAGCTGTGAGTAGATTGCAGTAGTAAACCCATTTATATATAGTACAGGTGCAGCAGAGTCAGAAATATTTCATGATTTCCTAAGTAGTAAAACTCTTGTTCAGATAAACATGTCCCAATAACACTGTGCTTTCGTATTTAGAGTCT